GTGAGCTGTGAGCTGAGGAGTGTAGAAACAGTCTGTCCCTGGTGAGCTGTGAGCTGTGAGCTGAGGAGTGTAGAAACACAGTCTGGCCCTGGTGAGCCGTGAGTCCTGGTGAGCTGCAATCTGATCTACATGGGCTACCTCTCCTCGGAACAGGAGACTGATTTGTGCTACACACACCTCTCAGCTGCTGCAGCGTGCAGTAACACAGCCCTGCTGGGCCCTCCTGCAGAGACTCAGTGAGCCCTGTCATATTAATCCAGACTATGGCTGAGAGAGTTTAAGATGTGTGATCTGCTGGGGCATCTGTCGTTGCCTTGCGGGCTCTCCTGCACAGCTCTGCTCCTGCAAAGTGACAGAGATGGATGGGTGAGGGCTGTTTGCGCTCATTTGGGTATTGTTTTTCAGGCTTAATTGAATTTTTCAACAACAGGTTTTCTGTCCTGGCCAGATCCCAGGGAATCCAGGGGCGCTGACTGTGCTCGTCAGCCCTGGCCCTGTCAACAATGCCTTCAGCCCTGTTGCTCCTGCTGAAGGGGACAGTTCGAATCAATGTCTCCTTTTATTGCAGGTTGATTCATTCGGGGGATCTATACCCTGACTGGGGAGCTCTAGGGCAGCTCACAGCTGGCTGAAATTAATGTGTTAGAGTGTGGGACAAGCTGCCCAGCAATGCTGTTGAAGGGAATACACTGGCTTCTTTCAAGAAACAACTGGATGAGATCTGACAATCAGGACAGGAGGCACCTCTTTACACAAAGAGTGGGGGGGGGAGCGGTGGAACAAGCTGCCCTGCCGTGGTATTAAAGCTGATAACCTGGTTTCTTTCAAGAAATGACCGAATGGCCACCTCTCGTTTTTTTTTACTTTTCTTATGCTCCTATCATGCATTCCAAGGGCCTTATTAACAGCATCTTTTAGTATAAAAGTCCCCCTGAGGTGGGGGCAAACACAGCTGCCACCAAAATGCCAAGCAAGGTAAAGACACCGTCCCAGAATCCATTTTCACCCAGTCGCGTCACTAGTTCCAGGTATTGTGCTGGATTTGCTGGTTTGCAGGCACGAGCGGCACGCTGCCGATCGCTGCTTCGGGGATCGCTGTTACCCTGCCCTGGAGCGCACAGAGCCAGCCTGCACCGAAAACAATAACGACAGTAACGGCAGTTTAACAGCGCCTCGCTCATTTCTCCACACTCCGGAGCCCCGCGGTGCACGGCGCTGGGCCTGGCCAGACTCCTCCTGGCAGCGCTCCTCTAGTGTCAAGAAGTGTAGGAAGGGCTGTTAACAGTGTTGTTGCTCCTTACCGCTGTATTGTGCAGAGCAGCGCAGACAGGAACATTAATTAAAGCCGTTATTACATGAGTCAATGCTTCTCGCTCACGTTATGCAAATATGGCTGCAATCTGGCAGGCCTGAATTAAAGAGCTGGGGAGGTGCACGTGCGCGGTGAGTTATTGTTTCTGGAGTCGTTAGCGAAGTGTTAACACGGAGATAAATTGGCACTTCCCCGAGGCCATTGATCACCGAGTACAGCAGGTAGCGCCCCTGCCAGCGCTTCTGCAGATGGCAGTCCGCGCGGTGCTGCACAAACAGGGAAGGTCCAGGCTGCGGGAGAAATCCAAAGTGCGCATTCGGACAGCAGTCGTCACGGGAAGAGTGCAAACAGGCCAGTACACGCAGAAACCTGAGTGTGCACTTCCACGTCTAGGGGATCTGTGCTCCCAAAATGCAGAGGAATTTTTCCTTAGTGTTCGTTGCCTAAAT